CATGGCTCCAAAGAAAATGCAGAGCAGGCTTGGCAAGAATAATTTGCTTCAGGTTGCGGCCAATTTGGGTTGGGGCCAGAGACACAGAATGGATTAAGTTCGTAACCCGAGGTACCACTGTAGTTACATATGTTTAATTTCTACTAGAAGGAATCCAGTTCCTGCTACCAATGTGGAGGAAGATGCCCCCATCAACTGTGTTTCTTGGGATTTTGTGGATCCAGCCCAAAGAGTCCCGTGCTCTTGTTCCAGGTCAGTATAAGTGAGAATAATCTCAAGACCATTCACGTGGGGGAGAAAATGGGGTTGTGTACCTGGGGAGATGAAGCCCATAAAGAGTAGTTGGAACAGTCTTGCTATGGCAATAGAAGGTGCATGTGCTGGTGTTCCACAAAGCTTCATGTGCAAAAGCGCCACTTTCCCAAGTGTGAGGCCCTCTAGACCATTTGAACTAAAACTCTTGGCCATAAGCTGTTAGGAGTTCACAGGGTTCTGCACCAGAATATTAGCATGGTATCCTATGGGGCAGGGAAGACTGCTATGGAGCGTCTGCCTCCATTGTGGATCCTGTCCAATCAGTCAGTCAAATATATTTGCCTTATTCCAATACTGGTATCAATTGACTGTGATCCTATTCCCTGTAGCAAAACTGTACCCCTCCAGCCTTGTTGAAGCTTAATGAAAACTGACCCAATATGTGAGTTGACTTGCTTTCTAAAGACTGGCACATCACTATCATTGATATGTGCAAAGCCCTGCTCCTCTCTTTGAGAACATGCTATAGAGCAGTGTTTCTCAACCTTGGCAGCTTGAAGATGTATGGACTTCACCTCCCAGAATTCCCCAGCCAGCAATGTTGAGAAACACTACTATAGAGGCTGAATAGGTTCCCTCACCCCAGGTTTTGAGTCTTCTGATATCATATTGTTGCAACTCACTGACAAACTGTCCCATTTGGATGCTAAAGGAAGAAAGGGCAGAGATAGTTAGATAGGCTTAATACAGTGACTCCCCCGTCTGCTTAAAATGACATGATGAACCTGTCCACTGCTCCTTCTATAGTGGTTTAAGCACTTTTTGTCTCATCTCTGCCCTGCCACCTGATCAGTCTATAAATCACGGGATAAATAAATAAGAGCAGTTGCTGGCAGGGTGATTAACTGAGAGCTTTAGTGGTGGAAGAGAATAGAAATTGCATCCATTTAAAAGAAAACCTTGGAGGCTGCATTTTAGCCATAATGAGCTTTTCACACGTGCTTCCAAATGTTTTGGCCAAGGTCTTGGACTGCGTGTGTCAGCGGTCCATAAAAGAGGCCTCCTGTGCCAGGCTATAACAGTGTCAAGAATTAGAAGTAGATGGGAGCCATTTGCACCCAGTTCATAACTGGAAGCTATATAGGTTCCACCCTTGTTCACCTGGATGCATCCTTGAATCTCCTTAGGTGAGTATCTATTTACATGCCTGACTCAATGACAGCATGTAGATAGGTTGATCTCTCTCTCTCTCTCTCTCTCTCTCTCTCTCTCTCACACACACACACACACACACACACACACACACCATTCTTCACATTTGTAGAATTATGCACAGAGTGCTCCGTACAGGACTTGTATCTTTCAGGAAGATCAGCTAGTTGTCTCAAGGTAGTTTATCTGAAAGTCATGGCTGATTCACAATGGATAAATCACCAAGCTGGACACAGCCTCATGAGAACAACCTGCTACAGCTGCAAGGTCACTTTTAAATGAGACAGGCTTCTCAGTCAGACAGATGTCTCAGCATCTGAATGAATCTTTCCCCTGTATTTATTCTCCATAGCTTCTTTGGTAAGCTCTCCCTGATTCTCTTTTTTCAGGCACAAGCTCCTCAAGCAACGCTGTGCTGTCGGTTCAAGCCGTCCACCAACGCTATCGCAGCCAGGGTTTGGTGTGGGAACTTCATCCTCTTCCACCTTACCACCTCCTGCCTCTAAGCACAAAACCACAGAGAGGCAGGAGAAACTGGAGAAAGTTCAGAAGAGGTCGCTGCTGCCGTTTCATCATCGTCCCTCTGTCACTGAAGAGCTGTGTATGGAGCAGGACCCTTCAGGACAGAAGTTGGCCTTGGCAGGGATGGAACCCGCCTTGGAAGCTGCTAGTGGTAGGAAATATGAGAAGCAGCTTTCCCTGCCTCCTCGACACCCAAGCAAGCAAACCAATTCGAATCCTATGGATTCTCCCCGTTCCCCCATATCTCCTCTGCCTCCAACACTCAGCCCCCAGCCAAGGGGACAGGAAGCCGATAGTTTGGACCCACCATCTGATCCTGTGAATCCAGCCCTCTACAGCAATGGGTTAGAACTTCAGCCAATGGCTAGCACTGAGGATAGGACAGTCCTTGTGGGCCAAAGGTTGCCTCTGATGGCTGAAGTCAGTGAGACAGCTTTGTATTGTGGAGTTGTACACAACCAGGAGTCATCAAACAAATGGCAGGGATATTCTCTTCCTCTACACAGTGATCTAGAATTCAGGCCTCCGGAACTCCAATGCGAGATATATGATGTCAAGATGGATGTTGCATCTGAAAACAGTGCACTGAAAAGGTAAGAACAACACACAAGGTCTTGCTGTTTGCTTCCAATGTTGCATTTGGGGTTGTTCCAGGAGGTGGTGGGGTATTCACATGTCTTCACCAATGAAACTCATGTCTAAAAATGTAAAATGTGGGCTACATATATTTGCCTAAAGCTAGGACCCCAGAATAATTAATTACCTGAGAATTTCTATACGTGGGGCTCTCTTCCTATGGGCAGTTGGGATTAGGACTTCCCTGTGAGTAAATGAGGGGAGAGAGACAGAGCAAGACTGGTTGTAGTGCCTCAGTGCATATATGCGCACATGTGCACACACACACATGCAAGTAATAAATTTCATTCTGTAGTGTGCTTAATACCTCTTTCTTAAGCTTTCAAAAGCTTGCAAGCAGCACCCTACCAACATTGTTTAAGAGCTAGAAACACTGATGGAGTTGCGTATATTTTAAATGCAAGTAAAATCCTACAAGAGCTTCTGGCTGTTTGTGCATGACTAACTATTATAAGTATACACATCTAATGATTTTTTTTTAATTGTGACCCATATTCACATTTGCATGTGAAACAGGATGGGTGTGAGAGTGAGTTCTTACACAGAGGCAAAACAGAATAGCAGATTTGATGGCTGACAAAATAAGAGACACATAAAAAGCAGTTCCCTATTTAAAAGAAGGGGCTGGACAGCTTGTTTCATAGGGCAGACAAGAAAAGAAGAGGTGCAAAAGGGTCTGAATATTGATTGTATAAATAGGGCTTGCTCTTCTGACATGGCACGTGCTAGAATTCTTTTGTTATGGCTTCCTGACTTTTCTTCGGTAATGCAACTACATAACAGAAGTTTTTGAATTCTGGTGAACTTCTCTAATTGGTTCCAGTTCTGCCAGCCAGGTCAAGCCTGTCAGAGCATTTGATTATTTTAAAATGTATTTATTTATTTACATTTAGAAGGCCACCTGACTCCCAAATGATTCTGGATGACTTACAGATTTAAAAGTGAGGAAACAATTAAAAAGAAAAAAAACATGCGCGCCTGGACAAAACAGACATTGCATTACAAAAAACCCACCAGAGGCTCAATGACCAACCTAGGCTTGAGAGTGCAGCCATGTTTTCAATAACTTACAGAACTCTTGTAGGGAGGAGTTGTGCAAATCTCATCATTATGCTTTGGGAGTGGGTGCATTCACCAATGGGAAGCATAATTTTCAAGCCATCATACAACAGTGTAAATAGTAGATGGTCATGTGGTCAACGTACAGCAGTGCACTGGTGCCAGTTGTGTAGAGCTTTGCTCATGCTCCTGTGTCTTCCATCGTAGATGAGAACAATTGTCCAAGGAGGACATGGTATAATCTCTGTGTTCATAGAAAGATCTTTACCCCTAGAAGCATATGTTGAGATGACCTATTAGAATAATGATGCCAATGTTACCAATGAATATTCCAAGTCAGGAAAATTAGAAAAGCGTTTTGTCTCTCAAACTGGAATAAGAGACTCCTGCCAGCTTTCAAAAAACTTCTCATGTCATGATTTCCTCCTCTGCATTTCTTTAGAAATATCTAATAGCGATAAAGCAGGCTGACACAAGATTATATCATGCATTTCCCCATTCATTTTTCTCTTTGTGGAGAGTTAGAACATGCTAAATATCACATCACATAATTATATTATTACAGTTTACTGAGGAAGAAAAGAAAAGCTGCAGGGCAGATTTTATACAGCACATTATCCATAATAATAACCAGCTAAGGCCTAAAATATTGATGTTAGGCTTCAAGAATACTACAAATTAGAGCTAGCGAAGTGTATCCTCAAATTGTGTCAGAATAACAGCACAGTCTCCTGCAGTTATTCAGATACTTCTGCTGAATGGTGTTCTAAAACGTCTGTGTAAGGGAAAAGGTTCCTCTTGAGTGTCACATAGAGAAAGCCCTGTAGATGTTAGGCCGAAAGAAAAGCCATAAACCTGGGATTAAAGATGATTATGTGGATTCTCAAGAAAAGCTTATTGCTTAAAATTGATGTCCCTGAGGATATGAGGCTCAAACAAATAATATATTAGCAGCTGTAGAAGATAGATTCTGTGAATCCACTTGTCCTGTTATAGTTGAGTAGGTTTTCATAAGCTTAGGGAGGTGATCATTTGATTTAGTGGTTGAAGAAGAGCGGTGGTGAAGTGAGATGTTGCACTGTTCGAAAGAGAGATAGGGCTGGTGAGACAGGGCTGTCCAATTTCACAGCAGGGAAGGTAAGAGAAAGCGAGACTAGTTTAGTAGCTCAGTGTTTAGGATATACATAGAAAGTAAAATCAAAGATATGGTGGTAGGGCATGGTAAGAGACCTCTGGGTCAGAGAGTTTGTCTGCATGAGTTTTGAAGCCACGAATATATATTTTGTTTTCACTCTTTATCCAGCCAGAAGGGGTTTTGTCAGCTGTATTAGTGTCAGAAAAGTCTGTAAAATTTTAGGACTGTGTTGACTGATTTTTTAATATATACTATATGCTTCTCTTTGTTTTTCATCTAGGCTCTTAGCACAACCTAATAAAAGATTTAAAATCCTGGAGGAAACCCTACTTGTTCCAGCCGTGAATTATCTTGACCCCTTGCCTCTAATTCCTCAATCTGGCGAATGCTTGGGAGATGCTACTGATCCGTACACATTTCAGGATGGCGACATCAAATACAGCTTCACGGGCTCTAAAAAATGCAAACTTGGGACTGATAGAGAATCTCTGAAGAAGAATAAGGTACCAATCGAAGTAGAGACATAAATCTTTGTAGAGCAGTTTATTGCTTTGTGTCTTCCCTCTGCTTGATTTTATTCTTAGTCAGACTTCATAGTTGGGTTCACACAACATGCTTGCCATGGTTATAGAATTAATCGATTTTCTGGACACACATGTTAAGTCATCAGGAAAAGCAGCCAGGCTTAAAATATTGATGAATGCAGCCACTAGGCCTTTAAATAACTTGGTTAAGTATGTCAATGTGTCTTAAAGGAATTTTTGGCTAGTATCCTATGTAGACTTCTTGAAGAGTAAGCTCTTTCCAACTTTAGTATTTAGCATAGAAATGCTCTCAAACCAGTCTTACTCTCTAGGAACCCAAAAGGAAACAACAGCGCACCTGGTAATCTTAAATTCTAGACTTAATGATTTTTTAGATCTTTTTGGTTTAAGGATGTATACATTTTTTGAGCCAAGTGCCACACTTCTGCTTTGAGTAATATGCCAGAGACAATGACATCACCATCACCATCACCATTTTATCACTGCCCACTCCAACAGACTCTATAAAAAGTTGGTAGAGCCATGACAAAGTAGTGGGTGAGACAAGGAAAAACGTTTGTAATATCACTTTGGGAACATTTCCTAGAGAATTTGAGAGTGTTCCATCAAATATGTGAAGTTTCAATTCAGGGATTTCTTTTTCCTTTTTCTCAGGGATTTTTGGAGGTGAGCGGAGTTCATTCTGAAAGATCAGCCTTAATTGCATTACTACAACGAACCTGCATTAAAATACTGTCATGTTAAGTGAAATGTGGGGCACACCTGATAGGGACATTTGAATTTGGTAGTTTATTTATATTGGCTCTGCAATAAATTATCACTTCTGAGTTATTTTTCCGTGCAGTAGAACTTGAGCTTTTCCGCTTGTTAATGGAACTTTTGATTTTTGAGCAAGCTGCTTCCATATGGTGGGTCCAATCTCTACTGTGCCTTAATGTCAAGCTTGAAGGCATCACATGTAGCACAAATTGAATATGGGAAAAACCACATGCTTACTCTGTGCATTTTATATGTATGGTGGCAATAGATAGAAGAATTTAAACAAGAGCTCTTCCTTCCCTTTTCCTTCTGGATTTTTCAGTGTTTACCTCAATAATAGTTGGTTAAATTCTTTGTGGTTGCAGCCAGAAGATGGAACTGCAGCTAAAGAGTTATCTTCAGGAGGCCACTCTACCACCCTGCCGGATGGGAAAGATGCAATGTCCATCTTCAGTTCTGCACCTAAGACAGGTATGCAGCAGATGAATGGTCATCAGGAACCAGGAGTAATTCATACTTTTACAATAAGCAAACAGTAGAAAAGATAGGATGGTGGTAATGCCCAGTTTTTGAATATCTTTCCCTGTGTATTCCTTTTTGCTGAATCTCCAATTAGATATTTTTAAAGATAAATTTTGGAACACGGGAAATTTCTGTTGTGCTTTCTCACTTCTTGATGTTTTTCATTTTTTTCTTCTCCCAGATACTCGGCAAGATAATTCTGCTGGCCGAGCTGGTTCAGGTAGCCTAACACAAGTAACCGACTTGGCTCCATCTCTCCATGATTTGGATAATCTCTTTGATAATTCAGATGAAGATGAGCCTGGCGTAAGTTTGTGATGAATTGAGCTTGATCCTTGGGACAGAGTGTCCTTTTGACCTTGGAATGAAGTTAGTTCTATTTCCAATAACATTGCCTATGAAACCAGAATTCCAATTTTTTTGAGTTGACATGGCAAGTTTTGTTACCAATTTCCTTTGACAAAATCATTGCATAGGTATTAAATACAGGTGGTCCTCGCTTAACAACTGCAATTGGGACCAGCAGTTCTGTTGCTAAGTGACACAATCATTAAGTGAAACATCTTGTAACTGTGACCAACTTACAGTGTCAACTTCACTGTGATTGTTAAGTAAATCACCTGTGGTTGTTAAGCGCAGTGTCATGTGACCGCAACTTGTGACTTCCTGCCAGCTTCCCCGATGACTTTACTTGTCAGAAGCTGGCTGGGAAGGTTGCAAACACGATCACTGTCATAAATGCACCCTTGTTGCCAAGTGCTTGAATAGCGATCACGTGATCACAGGGATATTGCAACAGCTGTAAGTTTGAGGACTGGTCATAAACCATAAAGCACCATCATAAGTTTGAACAATCACTGAATGAAGCAGTTGTTAACTGAAGACTACCTGTAATACAAAATGTGTTTCCAGTGTTTGTTTTGGTCTGAAAAAGTAATTTTCATTCTTGGATCCAAAACGAAATCCAGAGTCATTCGTTGTAGCAAATCTAATGTAATGGATAAAGCATTTGACTCGAAGTAGGGAAACCCAAGTTCAGGTTCATCTTCAGCCAGCCAGTCACTGGGTTGACTTTGGGCCAGTTGCCACCTTTTAACCCAACCTACCTCAGAGGGTGGATTTTTGCAGAGGGAGGGGGAACCAGAGAAAGGAATGCTGGATATATTATTTTGACCTCTTTAAGGGAAGCCAAGCTATAATCAAAATAATAAATAAACGACTATCTAAATAGGAAAGATGAGTTGTGGCCTACAATGATTTGCTTTGAATATATATTTTTGTTGTAATTGCATGCCTAGGCTGTCTCCCCTCCCCTCCGATCATCAAAAATGCCACCGGTGGGAACCGAAGAGCGCCATCTGAGCAAGGATGGGAGGACAGCAGTTCCTTATCCTCCAAGTAAGTAACTCCAACACTGTCCCAGACGAAGTACCCGAGATAGGGCCCCTCCTCCTTTCCCAGACTAAAACCAGTTTTCCTCCTTTCGTTCTAAATCAAACATGAAACGTTCCCTTATAAAAAGACACTGATGTGTTTATCTGAAGAGCTAATATTGGTTGAGATTCTGGGGTGATCCAGTTTTGCTTAAATAGATACTACAGTCTGTGGGCATCTGTGTAATAAAATCAAGCCGCTCTATTTCAGTAATGGATCAGATCGGGTAGTTACATATTCAGGATAATGTAAGTTAATATGAAATAACCCTGAACCTAAAACTCACAAAGCAAAGTTATCTCCCATTCAATTAAAAGGAATTAGAGAGGCTGCTTTATACCAATCAAGAGACAAAATGATTTTTTAAAATCCTACAATAAGGCTGTAATTGAAGCTGTCCCTTGACCAGAGCAGCATCTTTTCAATACAGTATTCGCAAAAGCCATTTGCTTGCTAGCTGATCGGGACAGCATTATTACCACAGATAATAGTATCCAAGCCAGAGGGAAATGTGATTGTTTTAATTTGAGATATATTCATTTAAAAGCTGTCACTGTAAAAGGAGAGGGGTGAAATTTATTGTGTGCGATAGAAGCCAATGCTTTCTAATTGAGACTGTGTTTTGTATCTTCATTAAATCTATCAAGATGGAGGGATTAAACTCATCAATTTTCAATCTGCTGCTCCTTAGTCTTCCGTTAAGAGTTGAAGTAAAGCTGAAAGATGTTTGTAGGAGGCTTTTAAAATCCCCCTTCCCTGAGAGAGAGGAATAGAGAGAATGTAAGCAAAACAGTTCCATTCCTTTTTCATACTGGTAGAAACCACAAGAATCTACAGCCTCCTTTGAGACTAGCAGATGTTTTCCCCCCTTTTAATCCTCACATACATAATAAGTTTAGAAATATTTTAGATGTATTTAAAATAGCCTTTTACATGATATCAACAGATGCCATTGCAAATTACAGGAACCTGGGCTTCAGAAAGAAAGGGAGAGACTCTGGCCTCACTGAGTTGAACTCTCATTTGATTGCAAATCATTCTCGAATGTTATCACATTAACTCTAGTTGGTAATGAGAACAAATTGAGGGGAAAAACCACGGTGTCACAAGGATGAGTCAGAAAGTTTTATGGACCCATAAAAGTAGTGCTGATTTACTCAAATGCAAAAGTATGAAATATACAGAGATTGGATTTTGACAGTTTTAGGAGATCTATCGTTTCTTAAAATATGCAAGGTTTCCTCAAGCATGAGACACATGAAAATGAGTAATGACACCAGTCAATTCTGAGGGGTTATTTAATTAAACATTTTTCTTCTTCCTCTTCTTCTCGTTTTAATAACACTGCATTGCAGAAACGTGTCCCTCCAAAGAACCCCCAAAGACAAACAGTGTAGCATGGAGCCAGTTGGAAAGAGTGAAATGGTCTTCTCCTTTTTGTATTTAGTTTTTCTCCTGATGCGTTTGTTTGCAGGAGAGAAATGTTGAGAGGCACGGCAGGAAAACATATTTTCCTTGCACAGGCTCTGATGAGCGAGCAGTGTAATCCCTTTTGCAGTTTCTCTTTCTCAGGGAAATGAAGGAAATAGGGAAATTGCAGCATGTCTCCCCAGCTGACAGCTGTTCCGGATGTTTCCACATTCCTGGCATGTCATAGACACTACCTCTCTCAGAAAGGTTCAGTGTCGACCCCATGGCTATTGATTCTGGGACTGAGTAGGACTGAGCCTTGGGGTTGGCAGGCCTTCTTGTTGCCTTGCTTATCTACCTGGCCTGAATTAGGAAATCCTGCTGTTCATTCCCATTGTGCTTCCCTTTGGGCAAATTTGCTCCCCACCTCAGCTGTGGTCTCCAGTGTCAACATCTTTAGGATGTCGGGTGGTGTCTTCACCAGTTACGTTGTCTGGTTAATTGAGCCTTGTGGGGCCTGATCTGGTGGAGGGCCACAGGTGATGTCACTGGAAGACTGGTGATTATCAGAAACAGTAGACCAGTGTTTCTCAACCTTGGCAACTTTAAGATGTGTGGACTTCAGCTCCCAGAATTGGGAGTTGAAGTCCACACATCTTAAAGTTGCCAAGGTTGAGAAATACTGCAGTAGAGCCAACTTTTTCATCCAGTTTTAAAGTGTGAAATAACGGCAGAAAACCACTGAGAGGCAAACTGTTCCAATTCCATCTTAGATCCCGTCCTCCAACCTTCAAAATGATGATACAACCAACAGTGTGGGGCTTTGGTGGGATGGGGTGGGAGAGGTCCAGGTGATGAGTCCTTTACTTATGAAGAAAACAGTTGTGCTGCAAAAAAATTGGCCATTTTGCGGACAGGTTTTGATTACTTGTTCTGGGGTGTTGGGGACCCGCGGGTGAGATTTGCCTATCTGGAATCAGTGTGAAAGCTCTACCATCCAGTCTGGCATTTCTCAAGTGACGACAGTGCACTGCAACATAGCACATAGAGGAAGACTCACAAAAGAAAATTCTGCCTGTATGCTTCCTATACACGTACTAGGAATAGAAAGCTGGATAATGAAGGAAGACGATTTCTCAGCAAATTAGGGGAAATGCAGAAAGCATAGAAATGGTAAAGAATGAAAGAAATGGAATCTTGATCTCTTTATTTTGATCTTGCTGTGATCTCTGATCGGAACACATTTCACATGGTCTAATTAGAAGCTGCTTTGGAGAAGGCAACATCATAGCTGACAGATGAATCGGTCTTCCCAGATTTTGGTTGAGAGATGCACTTAAAAGATTTCTTGGCACCTCCCACTTAAGAAAATTTACCTTCCTGGGAAAATACAAGATTTAACATCAAGTTGGTTTTTACTCTTAATTTTATTTTCCATGAGTGTAAAGAGAATAGATTGCAATACAGTTTCTTCTGATACTTGCTGCTTCTCTTGGGAATTACTAAAGGCTACATTTTTAATGATTAAACTCCATTTTCATAGACGTAGCAGCAGCTTTTCTGTTTAATTTGTAATAGGAGGCTAATAGGGGAATTTCACACTTTGCTTGTTTAGTTCCAGGCAGCTTTTCCTTTGCTTTGTAAGAAATCTCAGTTGGGCAACTTTTAAGATTTGGAGCAAAATTGCCTTCTAAATCTAGGGGTGCAGTTTGCCAGGCACTGTTATTTTGCTACTTCCTTGAAGTAGCAAAGGGATTCCTACAATTATCAACTTCTGTGCGATTGCTGTATTTGGCAAACTTCGCATTATGTATTCTTATCAGATTTGGAATCATGCTGCCAGTCTTAGTTCAAGCCATTCATTGCTTGAAGCTGCAGACTGAGCAGAATCCTGTTCACTGTGAGGGCAAACACTTAAAAAGTCTTATGGCATCATTTGGACGACACCACATCTTCTTTCATCTTGCACAGAAGGAACATCTGCGCCTTTCCTTTAATAGTGGATAGAGATGTGGTTCCCTGGAAAATTTTTCCTAGGCAAATGAACACGATTTGAATTAGCCTATTTGTTTCACTATCCATAGTCTGCACTATGGGTTACATTATGTGACATGGAAAAAAAAAATTAAGCGTAGCCTATTTTATGAAGTTTGAACATTGCATTCAAAGAAACTAAAAGGTCTGATATATGGAAAAAATTATTGGAATGTTGGAAAGAATGTCAGGCAACAGGTAATAAAAGAATATGCCACTGCCATTCTTTGGAACCACTTAAAAAGCAAACAACATATGTCTCTGAAATTGCCAAATTTGTTTGAAGGGGATTTTTTTTCCTGTGGAAAATGTTGACCCCAGACAATTTTCCAACCACTTTTCTTTGATAGTGGACTCAGGCTGGAATTTAAATAGACCTACTGAGTAACAAGAGAAATTCTGTGTACAAATACAAACTCCCAACATTTGCAGAATTACCACAAATCAAAATGAAAAATATAGAAGTATATATGAAAGTCTAGCACTTCTCCCCTGTAGCAAACTGATTTAGGAATGCTTATCTGTTGATGCAAAGCTTAATTTCATCATGATGATGATGATGATTTTACCAAAAGTTAAAACTTTTTTTTTTTCCAAATTTGACCAGGCATTTTGAACAATTGCATTTTAAGCTGGTTTTGTCGTCAGAGTCCTCACATTTATCTTGTTAATATCATTTGTTTTCGGTTAGATTTTGGTTTCTATTACTGTGAAATCCATTTCTGGATACAGATACCATTTAAGAATTCTTACAATAAATATATTTAGACAAGAAAATGAATTAGTTATGCTGTATGAAATATATGCGTTACATAAATTTCTCCAAAGTTTTTGCAGTTATGCACCTTAATGGATGGTGGAAAAGCATTCATAGGTACTCTTGAGTCAGGTCAACTCAACAGCACATATCTCCTTTACATTATTTAAACTTTAAGAAAAAAAATATTGTTAACATGTGGGCATGCAATGAATTTTGTGTAGCATGCAATGAATTTTGCTCAGCAAATCTGCTTTCATAATGTTTTGCCCTTTGCTTTGTTTCTGTACGGCTTTATAATCTTTTAACCCTAAGCTGTCTTGTCCAGCTGTTGCAGATCTGCAGAGGATGTTCCCAACACCACCCTCCTTGGAACAGCACCCTGCTTTTTCGCCTGTCATGAGCTACAAAGATGGTATCAGCTCCGAGACCGTGACTACGCTAGGGATGATGGAAAGCCCGGTGGTCAACATGGTTGCGACTCAACTCACAGAATTTAAAATGGAGGTGGAAGATGGTTTGGGCAGTCCAAAGCCGGAAGAAGTCAAGGTAATAGGCTAAAACTAAAAACATTGAAGAATGAAGACAGAGATTTGGTGGTACAAACAGAGATGGTTATTCTCATCTTTCTCAACCTGCTGAGCCACCCACAAATAACATTATGTCTTAGTGCAATATGTAAACCCAGTCATAGTGTTAAAAAAGCTGATCTATTCAGGATGTGCTGTTGATAAATGCATCTGGTTTTATGTACATTGTGAATTCTTTAGTCCTCAGAATAGGAAAAATACACATCTCAGTTTAGTTAATACAAATAACAGCCTCCCTTATTATATCTGTGGTTGCATAGTGATGAGTGTTTAGTCTAGCTGCTGTATTAAATGTAGGCTAGTCCCACAATGATCTGCTTTCCTGCAGACATAACAAGGACAGATCGTAGTGTCTTTAAGAAAGTAGACATTGCTCTTTCACATACAATTGATTCCTTTTCCACTGAGTGTATTTTTAGATCTAATGCAGTCAACTAACAAGGAGGGACCTGGACATTGTATCAGTATAGGAAGAAAACACCCTCCTTTTATGCTCTCTTGATTTCTCCAGCCATTTATTTTAGCCATAGCCTCTGTTTTCAATGGTAGTATCAGTTTCTCACATCTCTTGATGTTGCCCAGGTTGAAGAGAAATTGTCTTCTGTCCCCCTACGCTTTCCTTGAAAGATACAGTAATGTTATGCACAAATGATGCACATTTGCTCACTCCATCTGAAACTTCTTAGCTGCTGTTGTTAGAAAGGGAGGAGCAGAAGGAGACCTATGCAATGTTGTTTTCATGTGTTTTATTATGCTCCATTAAAAAAAAAAGAGGGAGCTAAACATGGATTTTTTTAAATTGATCTCTCTCTCTCTGTCTCCCCCCTCCATCCGTCCATTGGTCCATCCATCTGTTCATCTGTCATTCTATCCATCTATCCATCCTTCCATCCGCCTGTCTCGTCTGTCTATTCATTCGTCAATCGATCCACCCACCCACCGACCCACCTGTCACTCCATCCATCCATCCATCCATCCATCCATCCATCCATCCATCCGTCACTCTGTCTGTCTGTCTGTCTGTCTATGAATGACAAACCTTGCCACTCCTTGATTTTGCAGGATTTTTCCTTTGTGCACAAAG